ATTTGACCCATGACTTGGCTAGACATACACGCTTCATAATTTACTCTACATTTCAAATCCCCTTGACATTTAAATAAAAGATCTTCATTAATGAGGTTTACATGAATGAAAACCTTAGAAGCTGATATCGGTTAGCGAGGGGCTTCAGCAACGTCTGTGCCTTCGCTCTAATTTTCAAATGACTGACTTTGCTAATCATTTCAAGAGAAATTTTCGAGGAGAGCAAATGATCCTCATTTGCATTCTCTGATTTGCAAAAGCAACGGCGGCCCCGGCACTTCCAAACAAACTTTGCTACAGGACTCAGCTGAAAGCAAATTTCTTTCTGCAACCCCGGCGGACCGAAGCTCCCTCCTCCTCCTCCCCCCCCCCCTCCTCCCCTCTCCCTCTCCCTCCCCAGGCCTGGGGAACACGCATCGTTTTCCCACACCCACTTCTCTCCCCGGGTTACACGGAGCTTTCCTACCCCTTTCATGGTGTGTCCTTTGGGCTCTGATGCTTTTACTTAAAATGTTGCAAAAAACTAACAAAAACGAGCTAGTAAGTATCTTACGTTCAGCGAGAAGCTGCCCGGGACGCGGAGGCCCGCACTCCCGCTGTCCCGCACTCTCGATGTCCCGAGCGCGCGCTCCGCCAGCTCCCACGATTTGGGCATTTACGCAGCGCTCTTCCATTAACTCCCGCGACCCAGCCTCCTGGGGAAGGTCCCCCCATGCCCCGGGGCTGCGGGGGGTGGGGGTCATCCAGGGAGCCACAGAACTACGGAACTGATCGTTGGGCCATGGTTTTTGAGATGCTGGATTTTCAAAGAACCCAAATGCAAACAGCAGAGCTAATTTGCGCAGCGAAAACTGTTAGATGTGTTTCGGCCGCGCTGGCGCAGGCGCTGGCTTCCGTGGGGTCCGCAACAAAGTTTCTAATTCCTCGGACCTCAGGGAACCCTTCGTAACTTTTGCAAAAGACACACCAGGTCCGGGTGGTGTTTTTTGTTTGTTGTTGTTTGTTTGCACACGATAGGAAAACATCTACTTAAATGCATCAGATGATAAACCACTCTGGGCCCGGGGGAGATGGCTCCAGCTACAATCCCAGCATTTCAGGAGGCTGAAGCCTGGAGGATCGGGAGTTTCAGACAACCTGACCTACTGAGGGTGACTTGTCACTAAAAAAAAAAAAAGTGAAGAAGAGAAAGTGTGTGGGGGGGAACCATGTTCGCTCAGGGCGCGGGCAAGATCGGGACAGAATTCAACGAATCCTAAGAACTCCGGGTTGTATGTACATCACATTGCTTACGGCTAAGGGGGACGGGTAAGGATTGCGGTTCCCTAGCTTTCTCCAGGATTAAAAAAAAAATCTTAGAGAACACACACGCGCGCGCGCACACACGCACACACACACACACACAGTGCTCAAACTTGGGCACTCTGTTTTAAATCACAGAAGCAATTTAATCTACCCTCTTTGAATCAATTTAACAGTGACCGCAGCGAAGGCGCCTCTGAAGGACGCCAAACAGCAAATCTACCTTCACGCGCGCGGAACCCACTGATCGGGGCTTTAATGTCTTAAAAATGAGAGCTATTACCCGGACGAGGGACTCCTCCACAAACACATTTCCATGGACTTCGGTGTGGTGATTGCTTTGTGTGAAATCGTGTTTGGGTAATAATAGGAGAAATCAGCCCGGCGTGGACGGCATGTCGCCCCGAAGCGCTCCCCCGGCCGCCTCCGGCCGCCGCCGGTCCTCCCATGCTGCGCGGAGCGTGCGGGCCGCCAAACGATCGCTTAGCAACACGAGGGGGACAATTTGCGTGTGTCGCATTTGTTATTCCAATTGCGCGCACCCACGCAGGGTAAGATTGTTTGTTGAGCGTGCTGGGGACACTTGTGGGTTCCCTCCTGGAGGAGGCGGCACAGCCAGAGAGCAGGGACCGCTGTCTCCCCATCCACGAAGTGGCTTAGTCCCGGATGGGGAGGGGGGCACCCTGCCTAGCGCTAGGGCGAGCTCTTCCAGAGGCGTCTGGGCCCGCGGAGTGAGGTTCTGGGCCCTGGGGTCACCTTCCTGGAAAGCCTTCCTTACGGAGAATAGAGCAAGCAGACCTTCAGCAACCTTGTCCAGCACTCAGCTGGAGGAAGGAGGACCCTGCCCAGGGCTGGAGGCCGGGGTGGGGACCCAATCCTCCTTTATCTCAAGGAAAAGATCCAGAAAATAGATGTGGCCCGTAGCCTTGATGGGTACCAGGGGCTATTGGATTTAGTCCTAGGAATTAAATCTGCAGAACCTTAAAGGAGGGATAACTGGTAAATTCCAACACAAAGATTCATTGTAAAGTGCTCTTTGCTTCCAGGGTTCTGTACTGCACAAGCATTTTTAAGGACACAAGGTCCAGGACTTTGTTAGACCAGACAACAAAGTACTCAGCAAAAATGACACCAAAGGGGTGGGTTGGGGGGCTCACAGGCCCTCTGTTAGGTCTGCGATCCAAGTTCAAGCTCGTGGGCAGCGCTGGTCTGAGAATCCTCTGTGGACACCCAGGGGGACAATTGTGCCCCGTATTCCACGGCACTTTTGCCTCTGCTCCACCTTCACTCTAGCAAAGGTTAAAAAAAAGAAGTCCACTCACAGGCAAGCATGGTGGCACAGCCACGAAACCAACACGAACACGGGGGGGGGGGGCAGCTTCCAGCCCTGGGCCACTAGTTAGCTGCTCAGCAGAACTGAACCTGGGAAAGGCTGGCCCGACCAGGAGGATGTGAAGTCTTTGACCATGGATGTGTGACACACCACAGTACCCTTGACCTCTGAAGGAGAGGAGAGAATCACACTCCTGTCAGAAACATTTTTATTGGTTTTTAAGTCTATCACCTCCCCAGATGAAGACCTCTTTCCATCCTATCCTAACTCGTCCCTGCGTGCGCTTCGCATCCGCACAATAGCACCCCAGCCTCGGCCTCCAGCCAGTGGGTTGGGATGAGAGGCCTATGGCTGGGGACGCCCGCTGGGTTTCACCAGGCTCAGTCTGAGTTCGGGGCTGGGGTCGGATCGAACGTCCCCACGCCAGAGCTCTGATCCCAGAGCAAACCTCAAGGTGGCCTTCCCCGCTTTCCCCAGCGCCACGCTCCGCCTCACAGCCGGGCCGGGCGGCGACCCCAGCTCCAGCAACCCGAGAGACGACGAGGGCCAGTGGGCACACGGGAAAGGCAATCTCCCTTCGGGAAACTGAGGTACCTCCACCCTGGACCCCGGCCGTCTCCTCCATCCAGGCCCCCGGCGATCTCTTCTTGAAACCCGCACGGCCTCGGCGGTTCCCCGTGCCGAAGGCCCGAGGAAGGTCGGCTCCGCGAGCTCCGGGGTTCACACCCAAAGCGGCGAGACTCGGGGGCAGCTTTTGCTCCGCGCCCGCCGTAGCCTACCTTCTCGAAGGGCGCCCGGCCGCGGGCGCGCAGCGGGGGCTTAGCTGCGCCTCCTGCGGCTCCGGCGGGGCCCCGGCCGTGCCGCCCCTGCGGAGAATCCCGCACGTCCCCGCGGCCGCCTGCCGCCTGCAGAGCCGGCTCGCGTCCCGGCCCCCGGGGCCCAGCGAAGTGCAGGCCGGGCCAGGCTGCGGGAAAACGCGGCCTGGGGTTTGAGGCCCGTCCGGGAGCGAGCTGGTGGTGGAGGAGAACAATTCAGCTCATTTGGAGGAGCTAAGAGGAGAGCCCCACCGCCTCCACCTGGAGCAAAAACAATACCAAAAACAAAAAGTGTTGGGGCGATGGCACCCCATTGGCACAGACAATGATTTAAAAGAAGTGCCAAGCCCGCGGCCAGTCGCCCCGCAGCCCTTCCGTGCGCTCAGCTCCGCGGCCAGGGGTTAAATAGAGGCGGAATTTGCTCTTCGCTGCGGTGTAAAGGCCCAGGGGCAGCCACAGATGTTTTCAGACCTAAAAGTGCTGGGTTGGAGTGGGGAGAGACAGAGAGAAAGGGAGGGAAATCCGATGCACCCCTTCTTTCGTCGGGTGTTGTCTTTGCAACTTGGGACTTTTTGCAACAAGCAAAGTTTGCTGGGCGGGGTAACCAGCTCCATTCTAGGGAGATACTGAACATTTGGGGGGGAGAGGTGGGAGGAAGGAGAGGCGAAATTAGGCGGTGAAAACGCAGGGGTGGGGGAGAGGGGTGGAATTGTTCGAGTCTCCTCCGGGGAGGATGCAACCACCCACATTTTCTAAAACAAAACCAATTCCGAAAGGAGAAACCAAACAAAAGTCTCCCCAAAGTAAAACGGGTCGCCGCGGGGCCGGGGAGGAAATCGCACCCAATCCCGGGACCCAACGTGAGCAGGCCGGCGTGGGGAGCGGGGGGTCAGGCGCAGGAGTTGTTAACTGCGCCGACACAAAGGAATTAACGAGATTAACCGGGCAATTAGGCCGCCCGCCCAGCTCGGCCGGCCTCGCGGCGGGGTGGCCGAATGGAAAAGATTAGGTTAATTTCATTAATTCCCAATCCACAATCTCTTTCCAGGCCTGGTAACCTCCCCCCCCCCCACCCCCGCGTGCAACACTCCTTTTTTTTTTCCTCTCTCCCCCTTTGGCACCTCTCCCCCCCCTTCCCCTCGAGGGCCTCCCTCCCTCCCCCCCATTACACCCCCTCCCCAGGAAAAAGAAAGGACCAAATCTGGTTCTGTTTGTCATCTGCATATTACCCAGGAACTAAATCCAGGATGACGTCGACTCGGTATAAAACCAACAAGAGGTTCAGCTGGCCGGAGCTCCGTCCTACCCCGCGGCTGGAGTGGAGCGAGCGGCGCGGCGCGGCGCGGCGCGGGGCGGGCGGGCGGGAGGAGGGCGCGCGGACGCAGGGGGCGGGCGGGCAGGCGGGGAGGGGCGCGGGGCTGCGCGCTCGCCTCGCTCTCTTTCGCTTTGCTCGGCGGCCGGGGACGGGCGCACGGACCCCCGCCCCCGCCCCCGCCGCACACCCTCGGAGGAGGCTTTTTTTCCCCCCCTCGGCTCGTCCCCGCCGCCGCCCCTCCCTGGTCCCGGCGCGGCGCTCGGGGATGCCCGCCGGCATGTTCAGCATCGACAACATCCTGGCCGCCCGGCCGCGCTGCAAGGACTCGGTGCTGCCGGTGGCGCCCAGCGCGGCGGCTCCGGTCGTCTTCCCGGCCCTGCACGGAGACTCGCTCTACGCCGCCGGTGGCGGTGCCTCCTCGGACTACGGCGCCTTCTACCCGCGTCCCGTGGCCCCCGGCGGCGCGGGCCTCCCGGCTGCGGTCGGCGGCTCCCGCCTGGGCTACAACAACTACTTCTACGGGCAGCTCCACGTGCAGGCGGCGCCGGTGGGCCCGGCCTGCTGCGGGGCCGTGCCGCCGCTGGGCGCCCAGCAGTGCTCCTGCGTCCCCGCCGCCCCAGGTAACGACCGATCGCGCCCGCGCGGGGTCCCGGGGCACGGGTGGGCGGTGGGGCCGGCTTCAGCGGCCGTTTTGGCGAGGGACTTGGCCCGCTGGAGTGCCGAGAGCTTTACACCGAGCGAGGAGAGTTAGCGAGCGCTTTGCCCCACGGCGGAGTGAGAGTGCTCACCGGGCTGTAATGATCATGCTGCCGGGGGACACGAGGTGTTCTAGAACTTCCAAACTTGGAAGATGTACCACTGGATGTTTCCCCTCCCCCCCTGCCCCGCGCATCCCGCACCCCGGATTCCCGGGCTTCCCCGATCTTCCCCCCCCCGCCCTCGCAGTAGTCCCCCTTTTTGCGGACGGGTTTGAAATGGGGAAGGGATCTGACGGCGCGCGCCTCTGTCGCAGGCTACGAGGGCCCGGGGTCGGTGCTGGTGTCCCCCGTGCCGCACCAGATGCTGCCCTACATGAACGTGGGCACTCTGTCCCGCACGGAGCTGCAGCTGCTCAACCAGCTGCACTGCCGGCGGAAGCGGCGGCACCGCACCATCTTCACCGACGAGCAGCTCGAAGCGCTGGAGAGCCTCTTCCAGGAGACCAAGTACCCGGACGTGGGCACGCGCGAGCAGCTGGCGCGGAAGGTGCACCTACGCGAGGAGAAGGTGGAGGTAGGCGCCCGGCCCGGCCCGGGGCGGAGGTGGGGTGTGAGGGGCGGAGGGGAGCATCCAGCGGTGCTCCCCGCAAGCTGGGCCACCCGCCGCCCCCAGCCGGCCTTGTCCAGGCCTCCCTGGGTCTCCCGACCCTTCCGCCGGCCTCGCCGCGGAGGCCCGGAGGCTCCCGGAGGGCGCTTTAGGCCCAGGAAGTGGAGCGAAATGCGGAAGCGCCCCCCTCCTTGTGTTGGCCGTGCCAGGATGCCCGGGTACGATCCCACCGCGTCCTGGAGACGTCGGGGGCCACCAGGAGCCCCTGGGGAGCCCTGGCCGCGCGGAGCCGGGGCGATGCCGCCCCTCTGATCGCCCGTGGCTTGGTGTTCTCTTGCGCCCAGGTCTGGTTTAAAAACCGCCGTGCCAAATGGAGACGGCAGAAGCGATCCTCTTCCGAGGAGTCGGAAAACGCGGAGAAGTGGAACAAGGCGTCATCGAAAGCCTCGCCTGAGAAGAGGGAAGAAGAAGGTAAAAGCGATTTGGACTCCGACAGCTGACGGCCGCGGGCCGGCCCCGGGCGCTTTTGCTTTGCCCGACTCACGGACTTGCACAGACAGACGATGCTTCTTGCACACGCGCTGCCTTGCGGGAGGGGGTCGAGGAAGGAACGAGGAGCTGTAAATACTGTACATAGCCGGGAGGGTCGGCGTCCTGGCCGCCGGCGCCCGGCCCCGCCGTCCGGGGCGCTCACGCCTCGCTCCCCAGCGTAGTATTTATAGTTAAGTTAACGGTGACACCCTAATAAAATGATGGCGAAGTGGACGGCCACCTTCTGTACTTCGTACCCCCCTCTCCCTCCCCCCCCCACATCAGATCCTCCCCCACCCTCCCCCAACTCTATTTATTTGTAGGCGTGGAAGATTATTAAAAAGTTGCAACTCTGGTCTGTCACAGAAAAACAATAACGAGAGTAAAGAAAGTCTGAGCGAAAACCGAACGGATCGATCACGGGAAAGGGGTTGCGTCTCCGAGGGGTGCAGAGTTGGCGCTGCAGGTGCCAGGGCAGGGCGTGGGTTCTGGGCTGCCTGTCCCAGAGTTTCCTGGAGCGGCTACCCCCCGCCAGGGACTCACCTGTACCAAGGCTGCGCGTTTACGAACCGCCCCAGATCCAAGGGAGAGGGTTCGGAGTGAAAGTGGGCAACAGAAAGTCTGATTCTCCTGAGGTTGGGCCGCCCTTCACGGCTGTTTCTGCTGTCCATTTTCCGGGGCGCCGTCTTTGGAGAGCCTTTTACACCCCACCATCTTGGCTGGCATCACAGGGGACCCCCCCCCCATCCCCAGAAAGCTGTGCCACTGCCCTGGGGTTGCAGGATTCACCTGGGACAAAGGCTCTTCTCCCAGGTGTGTGGTAGCCAAGAAACTCACTGCCAGAGGGGTTCTGCTATGGTGGGACCCCTCTTCCTGGACGGACTAGCCCCCCTGTGCACCATTCAGCACGGGGGCAGAGGCCAAGGCCAAGGGGGATGGTTTTGTTTGTTGGCTGGTTTGTTGGAACTGGTGTTTGAAATGGATCTCCCAGCTGGATAGGCTGGCACTTTACTGCTTGAGCCACACCTCTAGCCTAGTCGTTTTGTTTTGTTTTTTGGTTATTTTGGAGATAGAATCTAGTGAGGGTTTTTTGTTTTTGTTTTTGTTCTTGTTTTGTGGGAGCTGGCTTTGAACTTCAATCCTTTGGATCACTTCAGTCCTTTGAATCGCCAGGTGCCCAGCTAGGAGTGGTTTTAATATGCTAAACATGATTGGTTTCTGCTCTAGGTGCACTTACTGCTGAGGGAAGTTGAGGCTCAGAAAGCTGGCCTGGCCTGGCCTGGCTCAACCCAGACAGTGGAAGCTGGAAGCTTCTTCCCGGGCTTTGCTTTGAGCCTTTGGAGTAAGGTACCCAGGGGAAGGGAAGAGCGTTAGATGCCAGCTCTGACCAGGAGTAGAGAGAGAAAAGAAATAGGAATTCACAAGGAGCCCGGGTTTTTCACACTTTTTAGGTTTGCAAGGCAAAATGACACAGAAAGTGTGGACTGACCGCTAGCACTGCTTTTTCATTTTTTGTTATGTGTTATGTAGCAGCCCAGGTTGATTTCCAATTCCAGATCCTCCTGTCTCAGCCCCCAGAGTGCTGGGGCTGCACCCATGGCAGAGGCTCCCAGTGCTGCTTTCTTTTAGGCTCAGTGACTTGGAGTCCAGGTCTAAGTCAGGTGACAGGATTGCCCTAGTTTCAAGCGCAGACTCCATGATTTGTGACTTTGAGTGTGATGTTCTTCTGTCACTGGAAAATGGGGACAGTGGTAAAACCTGCTGTCCAGGGGTTTGGGAGACATCGAGGGCCCCAAGTTGCTTACTGTGCTGCTGGCATTAAGGACTTCTTTTGACACAGCTACTTTGTATGCGCACACACACATGCATACATGGGCCAGTAGTAGGGTTTCAACACAGGTCCTCAGTCTGGCTTAGCTTTTTCACTGAACTGGTGCTTTACTGCTGGAGCCCACTTGCTCTTCTTCCGTGTGTGTACTGGTTAATTAGAGGAGATAAGGGTCTCTCCGATTTATCTGCCCAGGTTAGCTTTGAACTGTGATCCTCAGATCTTAGTCTTCTGAGGGTAGCCAGTGTGAGCTGGCTACTTAATTTTGAAAGTTAGTAGGATCATTCTTATACTTTAGAAATCTTGCTTTTTCTTTTTTTCCTTTCTTTTCTTTTCCTTTCTTTTCTTTTTTGGTAGGTCGTGGGGCCTGAACTCTGGGGCCTGGGCACTGTCCCTCAGCTCTTTAGGTCAAGGCTAGCACTCTACCACTTGAGCCCACAGTGTCACTTCTGGCTTTTTCTGCTTATGTGGTGCTGAGGAATCGAACCCAGGGCCTCATGCATGCAAGGCGCAATCTACCACTGAGCCACCTTCCCAGCCCATCACTAGCCTTTTCTCATTTTCCCTTCCAAGAACTCTGAGATATGGGAAATGGTTACCACGTTATGGGTGAGGAAGTAAAGGTTTGACAGCTTGCCTAAATGAGCCTTGCATTGTAATTGGCGATATTTCAGTAATAACTGTTCTCATCAGAAATGTCCAAGGAGGCTGTCTCATTCTTTTATCTATTTACTTATTTTTGTTTCCGTCAGTGAGCTTTTTTTTTTTTTTTTTTTGCTCCAGGTTAGTGTTCTACCACTTCAGCCACAGCTCCACTTCCAGTTATTTTGATGATTAGTTGGGGATAAGAGTCTCAAGGACTTTCCTGCCTGGGCTGGCTTCGATCTGTGACCTCAGATCTCAGCCTCCTGAGTAGCTGGGATGACGTCACATTCTTGACAAGTCCTCCTCAGATGCTAGACTAGCAGTGTGAACAGTCATGTCGGCTGTGCCTCCCACCTGACCTCAGGAATAGCAGCTCTTCCTGCACTGGGGGCCTCGGCACCGCTAGAGCTGTTGAGCTGCAGGGGCATCTGGAACAGTCTTAACTTATGGGCACAAGCAGCGGGCAGTGTCATTCTACCCTGAGAGACTGACACTGCAGGCCTATTTATAACCCCCTGTGTGTTTGTTCTCATGTGACTTGCCCTCCAGCTCACCAGAAAAGGGAATCTTTTGTGAAAAAGTACATGGCAGGTGAGAGAGAGAGGGAGAGAGAGAGAGATGGATTTTCAGGTGACACAACCTATCGAGGGGTTACGGTGGGAGGAGGCTAGAGGTGGATGAGCATCTGGGAGCTGCTCCTGGTCTGACGTGGGGAGCCTGGGAGGTAAGAGCTCTCCTTCTGAAAGTCCCTGTCTCTGGGCCTGGCTTTCTCTGCTAGGCACTTGAGGATTGCCTCCCCCTTCCAGGAAATCAGCATAATAAATGTCTGGATTGTGAGGGAAATGTCAGCATGGCTTGTCTAATTATAGTCTACCCACCCTCCTGTGTGCCCCAGGCCCTGTGGGGTGCAAACCTCTTTCTTAGCTGCTCTGAGTGTCGGGCAGGGCCAGATGGGGTCAGGCAGCAAGGGCACGTGGGTGGGCCTGGTAATTTTCTTTTAGGGAGGGGTTTAGCGACCACACTGGCTGTTGGAGTGGGAATATGTGGACCGAGTGTAGGCCAGGTGACTTTGCCTGAGTAGCTTCTGGTTCTTGTGTCCCGGCTTCTGACCACTGGAAGTGTTCTGTTCATTTCACAGTTAAACAAATTGAGCCACAAAGCAAATAAGAAAGGCCAGCATGGGAACTGTGATCTGCTGTGTACCTAGTCCAGTGAATTCCATCAATCAGGGTGCTTAAAGAATCCAAATTAGCCAAGTGTTGGTGGCTCCTGCCAATAATCCCAGTTGCTCAAGGAGCTGAGATCTGAGGATTTTGGTTTGAAGTTAGCCCAGAGTGGAAAGTCTGAAACACTCCCTCTCCCCCTTCCCCCTCACACCTCTCCAGGTCCTAGGGCTTGAATGCTGGGCCTGAGCACTGTCCCTGAGCCTACCACTTGAGCCACAGCCCCACTTCTGGCTTTTTTGAGTAGTTTATTAGAGACAACTCTCATGGAGAGTTTTCAGCCCAGGCTGGCTTCTAAACACAATCCTCAGATCTCAGCCTCCTGAGTAGATAGGATTACAGCCACGGGTGCCAGGCTCTGTGAAACTCTTATCCTCAATTAACCAGCTAAAAGCTGGAGGTGGAGGTATTGGCTCAAGTGTTAAGTACTAGCCTTGAGTGATTCTCCTATCTGTAGTCTCTTGAATAGCTAGGACCAAAAGTGTATATCACAATGCCAGTCTTCTTGGTTGAGATGGGGTTTGCTAGTCTTGAAACTCTACCCTCCTGATCTCCAAACTCTTCTGTAGCTTGGATTATAGGCATGAGCCACGTGAACTTGGTTGTTTAGCATTCTTAGCTAGCTGGGCATGGGTGGGAAAGAAGATTTGAAAACAATTACTATACAAATAGCATCCTGGAGAGTAGTGGTTCTTTGATCAATTGTGTTTCCTTGGTATTTGACCTTGGAAACAGGAAGGTTTGTCTGCTTTTGAATGTGGGTCTTTTGTAATTCAGGATACCTCCTCCAGGTTTAACCTGGCCAGGGCTGGGATTATAGGTGTGCCCATCCTAGCCTGCTTACCCAGAGGGGGTTTTGTTTTTTTTTGTTTTGTCAATCGTGGGGGCTTGAACACAGGGCATGGGCACTGTCCCTTACCTTTTTTTTTTTCCTTTGCTCAAAGGCTACCACTTTGAGCCACAGCTCCACTTGCAGATTTTGAGTGTTTAATTGGAGATAAGAGTCTCACCAAGACTTTTCTGCTCAGGCTGGCTTCCAACCATGATCCTCATATCTCAGCCTCCTGAGTAGCTAGCATTACAGGCATGCGCCATCAGCACCTGTTTTAATGTCAATATGTGATAAAGAAGTGGGCAGATACTTGCTGGGTTTGGTTGTTGTGGGATGAGTGAGAGCTCTCTCATCCATAGTTGTAAGAGATGTACAGTCACTTAGAATAGTTTAGATATTAGTGAGGTTCTGGTGGCTCATGCCTATACTCCCAGCTACTTAGAAGGCTGAAATTTGAGGACTGAAGTTCAAAGCCAGCCTGGGCAAGAAAATCTGAGATTCTTTTTTACAATTAACCAGCGAAGACACAGAAGTAGTGGTGTGGCTCTAGTGATTGAGTGCATGCTTTGAGCAGAAAAAGCTAAGGGAGGGGCTGGGAAGGCGGCTCAGTGGCGTTTGCTTTGCATGCATGAGGCCCTGGGTTCAATTCCTCAGTACCATGTAAGCAGAAAAAAAGCTGGAAGTGGCACTGTGGCTTAAGTGGTAGA